TTTCCTAATGAAAAACAAATAACTCTAAGTTCATCTAATGTGATTGGGTGAAAAACTTCAAATCTACAACTACTATTAACTGGCTGTTTTATTTCGTCAGGTTCATCGACCAATTCAATAGATTGATTAATCAATGAAACGCTATGTACGAAATAATCATTAAACTTAGCTGCAATTACTTGTTCTGACTGTTCTAATGTGCCATTAAAAGTTATGGACCGCGGTTTGCAATTACTAGGTTTTAATAAAGATTTCAAAATTTTCCATAACTCTTTGCTGTTGTTTTGATGTTGATCAATCTTCCTTTGAACATATTCACAACGAGTTTTCTTTATCGATTGTGAATACTTATTACGCGCGATTGTGTACCTAGTCCAATGATTGTCATTATTAGATCTACAAAACTTTTTGTACAATTTGTCCCTTTTCCGTTTAAGACGCAAAAGATCCAAATTGTACCAGCTGTTCGAGTTTTTCAAAGAAACAAACTTTTGCTCAACTAGTTGATTGGTACACGTTTTCAAAGCGTTATTAAGAACAGCTGTAGATTCATCTAAGTTACCGGCCGCGAATGGAAAATCCAGGCTTCTCTCAACAAGATTCGAAACAGCTTGCTTCGAATATTTCCTCCAGCACTTCAATTTTACAAAATTATCGTTATCGTTAACATGGTCTAAGACATTAATCACTAAAGTCTCATGATCGATTATTTTCAAATCAGTATCCGTAACTGAACAAATGGAATCAAAATTGGAATAAACGTGGTCAATTAAAGTTCTACTGTGCCTGGAAATACGCGTATACTCATTTACCGTTTGCTTTAAATTAAAAAACTCAGCTAAACGCTTCAAATGATTCGAATTATGGTTATCACGCCAATTAATATTAAAATCACCAGCCAATATATTTAATTTACTAGAATCAAGGAATGTCTCAAACCAGTTCTCTAAAACTTCAACAAAACGCTGGTCACTAGAACTGGGAGAATGATACAAAACACCATAATTACCCATCTTCATGCCACGTACAACTGTAATGCCCAAGAACCAGTTGCCATCAATAACTTCGTTGGTACGAAGGTTGAATTGAACTGATTCTTTGACATAAATAGCAACACCGCCAGTGTGTCTAGAATGTGATAAACAAGCAGCAACAATATATCCCGGAATACTATACTGATCAAAAGCTTCAGTTTCTACAATATGAGTTTCAGATAAGAAAACTAAAAGAGGACGTTTTTCCTCAACAATCTGACGTAATGCTACGTAGTTTGTTGACAACCCCGCAATATTCAAGTATAAAAAATCGAATTGATTCACATTCCTGGAACTTGGCTGCTATTTATTGAAACGCAAGCTGCTTTTCTTCTGATCAAAAAGTCTTTTATAGAGCAAACATTCCGAGCTAAATGCGGCATGGTTGACGTCCAAGTTCATTTTTCGTTCTTTATTCGTTTTCAAACAATTAATACATTTCAATACAGTTGACGTACACTCCGACGTTTTGTGTTGTTGGCTGCACCTAGAGCATCTATCACAATTTTTGCAATCCATGCTCTTGTGCCCAAATTCTCCACATTTGAAGCATCTCAACACATTAATCGCGGGAACTATCGAGCACCGATCAAACCCTACATTTACTTTTTTCGCACATAACAAACATTTATAAGTATCGACATCGACTTCAATTACAACACTAAACTTGTTATAAGTGAAGCGTGGATTTTCAAACATGTTCACTACTTTAACATCATTTATAGCGATGTCTTCATTTTGACTTTTTAAGTAGTCAATGAAGACATCGGAGGAAAACTGATCGCTCATGCCCACTATTTTCAATCTTGGCACCGAAGTGGGAACAACAGCACTATATTGTTCACCCAGATTGCTTTCAATACCAGTTTTTACATCATTAAGATTAGCTCCTGTTGCACACTCAACAATAATAGAGCCATCTTTACCATTCCTAAAATTACTGATTTTGTGTGAATTCAGGTAATTTAAATTGAATAATTATTTACAAAATAACTAAATGATATATCCTAAATAGTGTTTAAAGCTACTATCAACCATTTCTACGAGCTACACCTAACCTACATTCCTAAAACTAAAGCGAACTCGGTAAGAACAAGTGAATTATGTCAAGCTTCGAAATCCTAAAGGAACTTATTACAGCATATTCTATCCCTACCTCCTATGACCCATCCGGAACTACACTAGGGGAATTAAACGTAAGTCACACAAAACTTATAATAAACCACTACTACATGCACACTCGTATTTACGCTACCAATTATGTTATACACTATGCTAACAATCTTGTGCTTCTATATATACATCCAACGAAACAGGATTTTAAAAATCTCCCAATAAAGAGCCGTGTAACACATATTGCTCAGGTGCGATAGATGGATCCATTTCACGTGTGTTGGGGTCACCCAAGAAGTCGAGAATGGCAACTGGTGTTGCCCCAAATGTGTTGCTGCAACCGGGGCTCAGCCGTCCTCGTCATCTGCCGTAAATCCCTCACAATCCACTTCAGGAAATCGCGTAGAGCATCTGAAGAAACAGTTCAACTCTCTCGGAATTAGTAAGCCTTGCAATACGCTGTCGGAGTCGATAGGAGAACGACCGGCTGATGATCATGGAGTCATGAACTATAGTAAAAAGGCATTCTCGTTGAAATCGACGTCATCACGAAGATCTGTTCTGGCACTACAGCTTCAGCGACTAGAGGAAGAACGAGCATTTGAGCAACAACAGGCAGAAAAGCATCGGGCCTACCTTGACAAGAAGTACGGTTTATTGGAGCAGTTGCAAAGTGAGGCCGAATCCGAGTGCAGTGAATCACAGGATCGAGTCGAAAAATGGGTTCAAGAAGCAAGCCATATTCGCTCGGACGATGAATTGCATCCCCCAATGGCTGAAATCTTTGATCCACAAAGGTATTCTACAAAGAACTTCTCAGGACAAGTTCAAGCTGGTTCATATATACCTGCAATCCAGTCACGCTCAAACAAGTTGCGGAATGAGAAGATCAGAGAGCACTGTGATCATCCTGTTCGATCTTTAACGAGAGGTAATGATCTAGCAGATTCTCATGTGCAACGTAGTCAACAACAACGAACCGACAGAAGGACCCAGACAACCAGAATACACGTATATTCAAAGTTGTTTTCGTGATATACAAACATATATACAAACAAACCAGTCGTATAGAATGCAAAGAAATTACTTATACGTACAAAAGTGGAGGCCATATACGTGCATATTTTCGTATAATTGTAAACGTCATATACGATTTAATCTGTAATAACAAATCAATTTTAAAAATTCTTACGATGAAATCCGATTTAATTTGTGATACAGTACGACGGAAAAATGAGTCATCGCATATAAGTCGGGAATTTGCATTCTATGCGATTTAACTTAAACATAATGCGAGGTATGCCATTCTTATATGCGATTTTGACTTAAACTGTAGCAATTTACGATACTGTGTGTACGTTTTTATACGACTTCTGGTTGTCTGGGGACTGATTGCCAGTCAAGACGCCCAGAAGAAGACCTCGAACCGTTTTCGTTCCGTCCTCTTGCGAGAGGGACTGGGCTTGTTGAATCCGGCGAGCAACACAGTCAACAGCAACCAAGGACAAGAGACGCAAATCTTCAGTCAGGACGCCAAGAAGAGGACTTTGAACCGTTGTCGTTTTCCAGACAGCAGCTAGTAGCTCGCCAAGGCATATCCAAAGAATTGCCTAAGTTCTCCGGCAAGTTCGAGGAGTGGCCGGTTTTTATGTCCATGTTCGCTAGTACTACAAGTATGTGCGGCTTCACGAACGAAGAAAACCTTATCCGGCTCCAAAGATCCTTAGAGGGAAAGGCATACGATACGGCACGCAGTCTACTGATGCATCCGTCGAACGTTCCGGCGATCATCCGAACTCTTAAGATACGATTTGGACAACCTGAAGCCGTCGTTCACTCATTGATCCTGAAGGTGAATGCACTTCCGGCGGTACGAGAAGACCGACTAGAGACGTTGGTAGAATTTGCAGTAAACGTGCAGAATTTCTGCGCTACCGTGGATGCATACGAGCTCGAAGATTACATGTACAACGTCTCTCTCCTCCACCAACAAGCTACCGTCATCGCTCAAACTAGCCTGGGCACGTAATCGACAAACCCTGCCGCGAGCCAACCTGGTAACCTTCGGAAACTGGCTATATTCAATGGCGGAGGCAGCCAGCACCGTCGCGAGCCCAGTCGATTCGAACGATTCGAAGTCATTACGTTACGAAGGGCGAGGAAACAAGAAGTCAAACGTATTTTTGAACGCTCACTCCGAAACAGTTCCCGAAGCTACCAGCCAATCGAATCCCAAACCTAATGCGACTTCGAAATTTAACAGCAGTACGCCAGCCTTGAAAAAGTTGGCTCCCGTTACAGAATCCTGTTTAGTCTGCAAGGGTGGATGTAAAGTTGCGTCTAAATGCAAGCGGTTTCTCGAACTATCCAGGGAGTCTAGATGGGCCATCGTTAGGGAGTTTGGGCTATGCCGAAAGTGTTTAAACCGGCACAAAGGAGAATGCAAGGCTAAACCGTGTGGACGGAACGGATGCACATATAAACACCACGAGCTGCTCCACAATGCCAAGAAAGCTTCCAATCAAATCGCCATCTACATCCACAGCTCACGATGAAAGAGCAACATCATCTGTAGTGACCGCTCCAACGCACGACTGCAACACTCACCAGACAAAATCAAGTGCAGTGTTATTCCGATATCTTCCCGTGGTACTGCGTGGACCTCAAGGCTTCATTCACACCTACGCGTTCCTTGATGAGGGGTCCCACCTAAGCCTGATAGACCAGAAATTGGCGGACCAACTGAATCTAAAGGGTACCACAATACCGCTATGCCTCCGCTGGACTGGCGGAACGCAGCGCCGTGAAAAAGACTCACAATCAGTCACTTTCAACATCTCCGGAACAGGCAGAATGGCTCAGAGCTTCCAGCTAACCGGAGTAAGAACCGTGGAAGAACTGCTACTACCACATCAGACGCTAAACGCAGATGACTTGAGACAACGATATTCCTATCTCCAAGGCCTTCCTATCGGCTCTTACTACGATGCACGGCCAAGAATCCTCATCGGTATGAAACACGTTCAAGTCAGCTTGGTGTTGAAAAGTAGAGAAGGAAACGTCGGGGATCCAGTTGCGGTCAAAACACGATTGGGTTGGACGGTTTGCGGTGGAAGAAATGTAGAAAGCGACAACATAGGCAATCTCGTTCACTACACCTTCCACGTTTGCTCATGTGAGCGAACGAAAGACGATGAGCTGCATCAGGCTGTGAAGAATCATTTCTCCCTAGAGAACCTCGGCATTACGAAACCGAAGAAGCTTCTTCTTTCCACCGAAGACCAACGAGCACAGGATCTTCTGAGGCAGCTAACGTCTTACGATGGTGAGCGGTATACAACAGGGCTTCTATGGCGTCACAACAATGTTCGCCTCCCAGACAACTACGCTATGGCCCTTCGAAGGCATCAATCCTTGCAACACCGGCTCACCAAAGACCCAGAACTGGCCGAAAAACTGAATCGAATGATGGAGGATTACGTTTCGAAAGGTTATGTCAGGTAGCTCTCAGAGAGTGAACTCAGTATGCGGTACCCCAGAGTGTGGCATCTTCCGGTATTTCCGGTGATGAACCCGAATAAGCCAGGAAAGGTGAGACTTGTCTGGGACTGCGCAGCATGCTCCTTCGGTATTTCGCTGAATTCCGCCCTACTTAAGGGCCCTGATCAACTCTGCTCACTACTGTTCATCCTGTTGCAGTTTCAAGAGAATCCAGTGGGTCTTACCGGGGACTTACGTGAAATGTTTCACCAAGTGGGAATCCGCGTCGAGGATCAACAGTGCCAGCGGTTTCTATGGTGGAACGAAAAGGGAGAAATCGTTGTTTACGTGATGCAGGTCATGACCTTCGGGGCCTGCTGCTCAGCCAGCTGCGCGCAATATGTCAAAAACATAAATGCGGAGCGGCATGCAGAAAGAGCAGCCGAAATTATCCAGAAACGGCACTACGTGGATGATATGCTCATTAGCCTGGAAACCAAGAAGGAGGCAATACGAATCGCAAGGGAAGTGAAGCACGTACACCAACAAGGCGGTTTTGAGATCCGTAATTGGATTAGTAATTCGCCGGAAGAAAGAACGGACGAAAAAGATTTGGACCTTACGCCAGAAATCAGCACGGAGAAGGTTCTGGGCATGTGGTGGTGCACCGCATCTGACACCTTCACCTACAAGGTCGGGTGGAACCGCTACGATCGCGCCCTTCTGCTGGGTCAAATTCGCCCAACTAAACGAGTTGTTCTACGGGTGCTAATGTCGATGTTCGACCCTCTCGGGCTGATCAGTCATTTCCTTATGTTCCTGAAGGTCCTCTTACAAGAAGTATGGCGCTCAGGGGTGCAGTGGGATGAAGAAATAACTGACGATGCGTTTACGAAGTGGCAACAGTGGTTGAAGGTATTGCCTCAGGTCGAGCAAGTCAGAGTTTCCCGTTGTTACCGATCGCTATCCTACGACTCAGCTGAGGAAGTAGAGCTCCACGTATTTGTTGATGCTAGCGAAAACGGTATCGCTGCTGTCGCATTTTTGCAATTCATCAAAAACAGCTCCGTCGAATGCTCAATAGTCGCCGCGAAGACCAGGGTAGCACCACTAAAATTTGTATCGATTCCACGTTTAGAATTACAGGCTGCAGTCGTTGGCGCCAGGCTGTCGAGGACGATAACGGATGCCCTGTCCATCGACGTAGCCAGGAAGTACTACTGGACAGACTCTCGGGACGTACTGTGTTGGCTAAACTCAGACCATCGACGGTACACACAATACGTAGCGTTCCGTGTAAGTGAGATTTTGGATCTTACCGAGGCAAACGAGTGGCCCTGGGTCCCATCTAAGATGAACGTTGCAGATGACGGTACCAAATGGAGCTCCAAACCCGATCTTACACCCGAAAGCAGATGGTTTGTAGGCCCAGACTTCCTACAGCGGCTGGAAGCGGATTGGCCTCCACAGCTAACGAAGAGCAGAGCAACAGAAGAAGAACTTCGTCCTAACCTGATGGCGTGTCACACTTCATGTGAGCCTACAATAGATACCAAAAACTTCTCTAGCTGGAAGCGTCTACTTAACGTTGCTGTTCTCGTCCTCCGCTTTCCTGTCAACTGCCGCAAAAAACTCTGCAACGAAACAACTGTCACTGGACGACCAACTACAGAAGAACTGATATCAGCTGAAGCCTTTCTTCTACGATCTGCTCAACGCGAGGGTTATCCGGAAGAGTCCGCATATCTAAATAAAGCACAGAAAAACTGCCTCAGATCGAGCACAGTGCCGAAGCAGAGTAGCCTGTTCCAGCTAATGCCTTGGTTAGATAGCAGAGGTATCATGCGGATGCGAACAAGAATTGGAGCCTGTCACTACGCAACAGAAGACGCAAAGAAACCAATAATTCTTCCACGTGATCACCCCACTACCAACCTATTGATTGCACACTACCATCCACGACTCCATCACCAAAATCATGAGTCAGTAATCAATGAAGTTCGGCAAAGGTTCAACATTCCGCGCATCCGTGCTGCATACGCCAAAGTTAGGAAGAGCTGCCAACGATGCAAAAACGATCACGCTTCACCGAAACCGCCGATCATGGCTGATCTTCCGTGTTCTCGCCACCTTTCACGTATACAGGCCTTGAATTTTTTGGACCGATTGAGGTCTCCGTCGGAAGGTGCATCGGAAAACGTTGGGGAATGCTCGCTACGTGCCTAACTATTCGTGAAATCCATATTGAGGTGGTACACTCACTGAGCAGTGATTCCTGCATAATGGCGATTCGCAATTTCATCTCCCGCCGAGGGACGCCCAGAAGGATCGACTCCGATAGAGACAAGAACTTCATAGGGGCGTCACGTCAACTGGAAGAGGCCGCCACAGTGGTGAACGTGGACGAAGTGAACGCAACTTATTCTTCGCACGGTCAAACGAAACACATTCACAGAGGGACGATAATTTATTGCAACACCAAACACTTAACAAACTTTGTTTCTAATTTCTAGGACAGAGTATATTTGCGCGCAATTTGGTTTCCTCTTGCAAACTCAGTGGTGGCTGATGGCAAACTATATTAAAATCGTTTCTTATTCTATACTTTTCTAAGTCTATCACCGAATCCGCCGTAGTATGCAGATTGTATTGGTGAGAGAGAAAAACGAGAGAAATTTATACGATGTTACAGCATTCAGCTACTTAAACACTGGTGGCTCGTAATGAAAAAACACACTGAACCTAAACACCGACTTTTTCAGCAATTCAAAAACCCAGTGAAAAAATACTGACTCCTGTAAAATCATCTAAGTGAGTAGGCTGTAGCGTGAACGTGATATTACACATCGTCTTCGATGGCTCCAATGTTGAAAAATTATGATAAATTAATCTCGGTAAAATTTACAATTTCGGATGAGGGAAAAATAAAACAAGTTCGAACACCGTTCTTCTCAATAGCAATTTTCCTCTTTTATTTTAAACAATTGTTCATATATATATATGCACTGATTTCATCATCTCCTACATTTTGTTCAGTTGCCAGTGCAAATGAATAGCACTTAACCCCCCGCTCTTATCCCCCCCCCTCTCAATAATCTAATGCCCGTTATAATACAACGTCCTTTCACCGCAAGCAGATATGAGTCATCGCATCGCGCGTGTATAATATGGTATTTTGGTTTGTGCAAGTTTGTCGATTTAGTTGTACGTACACATCGCAGCCATAAGCCTTTTCCCAGTAATTTTCGACTAATCAATTAGGATCAGAGTTTTTGCTGTCGTTACTTAGCCGTGGTGTACCCATCCCTCCCCGATATGGTGGCCATCCAAATTTGACTAAACAATTATACATGAGATATGTTACTCAATATGTGTATGTGTAGGTTTGTTTTGCGATAGCTACGGGAATTTTGTATTCTTCTTTAATTAACTAATTTGTTTATTGACTCTCTTGCTGACTTCATTTTGCGTTTGCTTTATCATAAGTTTGATTTGTTTTGTTTTGTTTTAATTTGGATTGTTTGTTTTTTTTTTTTTTGTAATTACAAATAACTGATTCACTTTGTCTCTCAGAAGTTTCGCTTTCTACATTCTAAGCTGAGTAGGGTTTTTAATTCCATCTTTTTTTTTGGGATATGATGCTTTCCTTATGTCCAGAACAGTTTGCTTGTTTTTGATTCCTTTAAGTTGATATTTACACTTCGATTAGTGCCTTGATTGGTTTTTAGTATACTAATTTAACAGACTTTAATTTTGTTTTTCGCTTTCACCTTAAGCCTTTCAGCTGAAGCTTTTCAACCATCGCGCGTACTCAAACTCAATTTAACAAGCCAACAGGAAACTTTTGTTTTGTTTCAAACTTCAACTGCAAGCAAAACAATTGATTTAAACTTTCAACCTGAGATTTTGCGGCGCCACAATAAATGGAAAACGAGAAGCATCCCCGCAAACATCGAGTTGTTGGTGCGGTCAAGCGTCGCTACCACCAGAAAGGGACACGAAACTTAATCAAAAGTAATCTCCTGTCTAGTCGTTGCTTGCCATTGGTGGCCATCGTCTTTCATCCGGGCTGAATTTGATTGATGATCCTTAACCTCTTTCGTCCGAAGAGGGCTTTGCTTTCAATTGTTGGGGTCGCCAGATTACTCGAGGGAAGGTTTTGTGGCACCCCGGAACCAGATGACATTTATAAGGTTTGCTGGGCTGCCTGATTAATGACAGGCTGTCAACTCTTGCTTTCGACAGTGGGCGGTGCCAAAGGGCCGGGTTGACAGTAATCAACTGAGCTTGAGTGTTGTTCCAAAAGAAGAGACGTATGTGGATAGAAGTTATTTGACCACGCAGACGCTTGTAGCAATATGCTGTCAAATGGTTTGATTATTGACTTCTTGTTGTCTAAATACATAAAAAAAGAATCCCCACCCTCATTGAAGCCAGCTCCCCACCTAAGCCCGGATCATCAAAATAAAAGTTCAAACTGTGTTTTCCCACCCATCCACGCCGCAGGGTCATTTTCTCACAATTTATACTCCATCAAACTACCATGAAGCTTATTCAGTAGTACCTTGCCACCAGTTCTGCACCCGTCCTCCTGCTCTAAAACTGAGAAAAACGAAAAAGAACTAGTAGTACCACCCGTGGTATGATCCCGTCTATGTAGGAGCATCCTCTCGTTCACCTTCAGCATTTTTTTCTACTTCGTTCACTCTCCAACAAACAAGCTTTTCACAAACTGCTTCCTGCCCTCCTCATCGCCTCAGAAGCACCAGCAGCAGCTATCACCTTTTTTATAGTCTTCTCAGCTTGAAATTTATTTGCTACAATTTTCCTCCTCCCCTTCGACCATGCATCCGTCCCGCAGCATCTGCTTCTACTGCTTTGCTTCAACTACTAGCGACGACGTTGTTTTTTACATTAATATTATTTACAAATTATTTCAAACTTTTAATAGAGTTTCCTTCTTAGTCTTTTAGCTCGTCCCGCTCTCTCACCCACAGTTTTCCCCGTTTTTTCGCTTTCAACATCCCACGCTTTTCCATTTTCACCCGGATCCCCACTCAGTAGGGTGGGATGCGCACGTGATGCATTTTAAATTCAACTGCTTGCATTCGATACTTACTCACTCTCACACACACAAACACAAACACACACAATTCGAGCCAATTTGTCGAGTTGGGTGAAACAATCTTCTCCGGCGTCGGCGAACCAAACATAAACAATCCGATTGAGGCGAAAGTGGTAAATACAGCGCAGCGAAGAAACTTAACTTTCCGTTTACAGTTCAGCTGATTCTTGGAGTCTGATTATGCTTGGTTTGTAAGTTTAACTAGTTGCAGTTCTATAGCAATTTGTATTGGTATTCCGTTTATTCACTGTACAATTGGAAGCATTTTTGGATGAAGTGGTCACCTTGCGTCCGCTGGCTGTCTCTTAGCCAAACGTGACCAAACTGTCATCATCGCGTTCGTCTTCGTTTCCGTGTTCGGATCCGTTCGGATCAGACTGCTGCTGGCGTTCAGTTGTGTTTCCAACTATTAGCTGTTTTCGGGAAGACAAACAAAGTGGAAAATGGTTAGTAATAGCGAAGGAAATTTCAAACATTCAATCTCAGAAAGTTTCATAATTGACGCATTTCGCGCCAAATCGAATCGAAGCTGGCAGCACCCTCTCAGATTTCAATGAAATTTTCTGGATGTGTGGACTTTGTCTAAATAAGCACTTTTGCATACTCAGTTTTTCCAAAATTTAACTAGACTAACATTTGAGAAGGGTCAAACTTTTTCTGCCCATTTTTTTTCAAAAAAATATTTTTGAAAAATGACAACTCCTACAAAAATGTGTTGTATGGATGACTTTTAGGAAATTGTCCAAGTTTTCGAAAGAAAAAATACTGAAAAAAATTCCATTTGAGACCTACACTGAAAAAATCGATTTTCAAAATTTAAAGTCAACTAAAAAAATTACCGGGTTTTTTTTAGATAAAACTTTGCCTCAAGATAGGTAATTATGTTTACTACCTACAATCCGTCCATACATCGCAAGATGGGCACTGTTCAGGACGGTGGCAACTACGGCCGTTCAGTTTTGGCAAACGGAGTGCAGCCTTAAAACTTACGTCGTTGAAAACAAAGAACAGTACACGAAACACTCAAAAGTCTATGAACTACCATACACAGTACACAACACATTACGGTATCTCTTGCTCTAGTGAAAAGTGAAATCTAGCTAGACTCTGTACGCGGAATTGTTGAACTATCGGATAGTTAACAACACAAATAGGGACTAAAAATGTAAGTTCTGGTTAATAATCACACTATTCAATATTGAAACTAGATTACTAACATTATTTGAACTTATGTGCTACCATGAAATATTGTTAAAGTTAATGCTAATAAAACCTGTGAATTTCAGCTCGAAGCAAACTCCACCAAAATTCGAGTTTCGCTATTGGATTGTTCGAACTATTTCTTCGACTATCTCAACATGCACTTTTAAGGAAAAAAAGTTTTTCTTACAAAAACTGTTTCATGATGATTTTTTAACGTACCATTTTCACACAAAACTAAACTCAAAATCATCTCAGAATCCAATGAAGCTCAATTTGTAGTCTAATTTAAAAAAAAATCATTGCTTTGAATTTTCGTAAAATTTGTCAAACTTTATTTGTTTTTACGGATTAAATCGTATATGATGTCAAATTGAGTCGTAAACAAAGACATTTTAAAATTACACGTAGGGTTTTTGATCTAATTTCCGTCCTTCTAAGCACAACCCGCGCTTTACCTCTATTTTATGAACGAGTTTAAACAAAAAAAAAGGAATAATTCTGTCAAAGATTACTTGTAAACTTATTCATCTTCCCATCGATTGGTTTTGATAAAGAGACACAAATTGTTTTTTTTTTTTGGTAATTACTTTATTTGTACAGGCTCAATCAATCGAATAAACTTTACAGAGCCAAGTTATCATTTTCTTTATACATTATAAATGTCTTAAATCTAAAATTAAAGGATTGGAACCGATTACTCGCGGTCTTCTCGAGGTTAGTGGATGACAATTGTTTGGATTGGGAGAGGGAAAAGGATATTTGGAATATGATTTATGATTCAAAAATTTCACTATTTCTAAAACATATACTTAATCCTATCGACGTTATATCAACTCTGTAATTATACAATTATTACAGAAACAAATCTACAAAAAATACACACACACATACAAAACACAATCTAAACACAAGGTTAATCAAACTTACAATCTATGGTTAATATTCTTCAAGAAAACATATATGAGTTGCATAAACTCCAGATCGCGTCTAGCCAAAATATCCCGAACTGGAACATTAGGTTGTCTACCTCGAGCCCGAAGCGAATCGTACAACTTGGATCTGACTCCACGGTGCTCAGCACATGACCAAATAATGTGATCTGCGTCCTGGTAACCTTGTCCACATTCACAGAGATTACTGTCCCCCAGTCCAACACGGAACAAGTGAGCGCTTAGTGAATAGTGATTGGACATGAGGCGAGACATCACACGAATGAAGTCTCGACCCACCTCCAAACCTTTGAACCAAGGACACTTCGACGAGGAGTGCTTTACCGGCCTCATGGAGCGAATGGCCTCGACAGAACTGAGACTATCCGTAAACATAAAACAATGATCTGGTGCAAGTGAGGCGATCGTTTCTAGCGTATAATGTATTGCCGCCAGTTCCGCAACATATACGGAACAAGGAGCATGAAGCATTCGAGAGGCGCTATGAAATTCGTTATAAATACCAAAACCAGCGGACGCCTCTATTAGTGATCCATCTGTGAAGAACGATCTTGCGGAATCAACTTGGCCAAACTTTGCAGCGAAAATTGACGGAGCAATCATGGAACGATGATGCTCTGGGATTCCGCGAATCTCTTGCGTCATGGATAAATCAAAATGAACAGAACTGTCGAAGTCGGAGAAGCAAACACGATAGGGATTATGCTGCGAAGGGCTGACATCCTGTGTTATGTACACGTAGAACAATGACATAAAACGAGTTTGAGGGTTTAGCTCAAGAAACTTCTCAAAGTTTGCAATCACCAGTGGGTTCATAATTTCACAACGGGTGAGGAGCCTGAGGGACAATTCCGAGAACCGATCCGATAGTGGCAACATGCCCGCCAACACTTCTAGACTCATCGTATGAGTCGAGTGCATGCATCCTAACGCGATACGAAGACAACGATACTGGATACGTTCCAGTTTGATGATGTGAGTTTTAGCCGCCGACTGGAAGCAAAAACTACCGTATTCTAAAACCGATAAAATCGTTGTCCGGTACAACGTTAGAAGATCTTGCGGATGGGCTCCCCACCACGTTCCGGTTATTGTTCGGAGAAAATTAATCCTTTGTTGGCATTTCCGCTTCAGATACTCAATGTGGGATCTCCAGGTGCATTTTGAATCGAACCAGACCCCAAGATATTTGAAAGACATGGAATGAGTGATCGGCCTACCCAAAAGTTGAAGCTTCGGTTGTTCTGGGCTATGCTTCCTAGAACAAACGACCAACTCAGTTTTCTCCGTGGAGAATTCGATACCTAGCTGGATAGCCCAAGTAGACAAATTGTCTAAGGTATCCTGTAAGGGTCCTTGCAGGTCGGCCTCTCTGGGCCCTGTCATAGACACTACTCCGTCATCTACAAGTTGTCTCAACGTGCAGTTGTCCCTTAGACAATTGTCAATTTCTCTGACGTAGAAATTATACAGAAGGGGGCTTAAACATGAGCCCTGGGGGAGACCCATGTAGCTAAATCGTGAAGCTGTAGAGTTTCCATGAGAAAAGCTCATATGTTTCTCTGACAGCAAATTGTACAAAAAGTTATTAATTAATGGAGAAAGGCCACAAGCGTGGAGTTTGTCTGAAAGGACTTCAACCGATACTGAATCAAAAGCCCCCTTAATATCCAAGAAGACAGAAGCCATTTGCTCTTTCTTAGCAAAAGCTAACTGAATTTCCGAGGAAAGCAACGCGAGACAGTCGTTCGTTCCCTTGCCCCTACGGAAACCAAATTGAGTATCTGAGAGTAGGTGGTTCAACTCAACCCATTTGTCCAGGCGAAAAAGGATCATTTTCTCCAACAATTTTCGAATGCACGATAACATCGCGATGGGACGATACGAGTTGTGATCTGACGCGGGTTTTCCAGGCTTTTTAATGGCTATAACTCTCACCCGCCTCCAATCATCCGGAACAATATTAAGCTCCAGGAACTGACCAAACAAGTTCAACATGCGCCTCTTAGCGACGTCTGGGAGGTTCTTCAACAAGTCGAACTTGATCCTATCAGCCCCCGGAGCCGATTTGCGACACGAAAGGAGCGCGAGTGAGAGCTCCAGCATTGAAAAAGGCTGGCTGATCTCGTCTACCGAATTCGTCGTTTCGCGAGGAATCAACTGCGACGGCACGGAATCAGGACATACTTTTCGCGCGAACTTGAGAATCCAACTATCGGAGTACTCCTCGCTCTCGTTGTTTGAAGACCGGTTACGCATCCTTCGCACCGCATTCCAAAGCGTATTCATCGACGTTTCGCGCGATAACCCGTCCACGAATTGCCGCCAGTATCCGCGTTTCTTGGCTTTGATGAGGCTCTTGAGTTCGCGTTCAAGAGCCGAGTACGCTTCGAAATGTACGGGTGTTCCACGTTTCCGGAAAAGCTTAAACGCGTCGGACTGTTTACGATAAACCTCAGTGCATTGCTGGTCCCACCAAGGGGAAGGAGGTTTCCTATGGAAAGACGTTCCTGGAACCGGCCGAGTTTGAGCTTGAAGCGCGCTGTCTAAGATCAGATTGGAGAGGAAATTATATTCCTCCAACGGTGGAAGCCCTTCTACCGACGTTAGGGCATCTTCTATCACATTCTTGAACTTTGTCCAATCGATATTACGGGTAAGATCGTACGCGACGTTAACGGATTCCGACGGATTGAACCCACTGGCAACTGAAACTTTGATCGACAAGTGATCACTACCGTGGGGATCTTGGATCACATTCCACGTGCAATCCAACGATAATGAGTTAGAGCAAAGTGTGAGGTCTGATCTACTTCCATTCTCCATTGTTAAGAATTGTCATATTAAAGCTGTCGCAGAGGTCATATATCAAAGTAGAACGGTTGTCATCATACAGTTCCCCCCAGCCTGTACCGTGGGAATTAAAATCTCCCATAATCAACCGTGGAGTAGGAAGAACTGAACAGATATCTGAAAGTTGTTTTTGACTAATCGAAACTCGGGGAGGAATATACACAGAAGCAATACAAAGGCTCTTGCCTTTAACAAAAGCCTGACATGCGACAACTTCAATACCTGGAAATTGTGGAAGATTCACTCTATAGAAGGAATGGCACTTTTTGATCCCCAAAAGTACCCCTCCTCCACGCGAATCCTCACGATCCAGTCGAATAATGTTAAAATCATAAAAAGGAAGATCGATATCTGAAGAGAGCCAAGTTTCACAAACAGCAAATGCATCACAATCATTATTGTGAATT